GATCCCACATCACTCCAGTCCTGGTTCCCAGTTAAATCCCACATCACTCCAGTCCAACAGCTCCACTGGTTCCCAGTTAAATCCCACATCACTCCAGTCCTACAACAGCTCCACTGGTTCCCAGTTAAATCCCACATCACCTCCTCACCTGTGTGACCTCCTGAACATCTCCACACCTCCTGCTCTCTAAGATCTGGCTCCTCCCTCCACCTCTCAGCACCTCCTGCCCTCCTCAACACCATGGGGAGCAGAGCTTTCAGCTCTGGAACTCACTGCTCCATGGATTACACACCACCAGCTCTCTGTCCCAGTTTAAGACTGGTCTGAAGACACATCTTCTCAGATTAGCCTACGGTTAACTCCGATTGTACCACAATATATGACTGTTTTGTTGTCCTCATTTCTGTTTCTCCACCACAACCCTATTGTTCAACGTATTTACAGTGGTTTCTTTTCTATTGTACAGCGTCTTTGGGTGTCCTGAAAGGGGCTTTATATATAAAATGCATTATTATTGTTACTATTATTACTATTACTATTATTATTATTAATTTCCACAGAAAACAACCTGCTCATTTGGATCAGCAGGAACACATTTATGATCTCTATTCTAGGTAGCGATGATCTTACCTTTGAGCCTTTTGGACCCACAGGACCTGGATCCCCAGGAGGTCCAACAGGTCCCTGCAGAGATGACACAAAGTTTAATAAAAATCTTCCATTTGCTGAAGAATGCAGAGACCAGCTTTGTAAACTAAAGTTATCAAGTTCCCAGAAAGGGTTGGACCCATGCAGGAATACAGGCTGGCATAAGGAGGCAGGAAACAAGTATTTATTATAAAACAAAAGCCGACATGGCAGCAACAAGCAGAGAAATACAAACAGGGAGAGTGGTAACACATGGGGAGAATGCTGATTATTACCCATGTTTTCATACAAATTTCAATGCAGCTTTTGAGTGAATGTTTAAAAGTCACTGAAAAGAAAAAAGTGAACCAGAGGTTTTTCATCTACTGACTTGAAGTGAATGAACCAGTACGTTGACGGTACCCATGGCTGCAGTAAACAGGAAGTACAAGTCACAAACTCACAGGGTCCACACATCTCAGGACCATGGAGAGAAGTTATCTGTTGCTACTATCAGGAAAGCTGTGATTATTCTGTCATATCAACTAGTACTGAACATGTTGCATGCTGTCTGGAGACGTAGAAAAAGAAATGTGATTCTCTTCACATTTCAGGAATATGTGAGAAGACATCAGGAGGGTCCAGCTGCAGCCGGACCTGTACTATTATTGGACAGCGAGTACAGCTCATTGAGGTAAATGTTCTCTATGTCAGAACTTATTCTGCAAATGTGTTTCCATCTACCCCTTTTGCACATTAACTCTTTCTTTTTTTCCCAAAAAAATCCAAAAAACACTTAAAGTGAGCTCGAAAACATTTTTGTGAAATTGAGGAAGCTTGTGCAAATTTTGCCCTTTCCATCCAGCATTTCAAACGTGACATTTCAAAATGCACGGTGATAGAAACACGACTACAGATAACAGGCAGGTGAGGGTGGCAGGACTGGGAAATCACTGAAAGCACCGAGGAGGAAACAGTAGAATGATCAGAAACACAGGAACAACAAAAACAACAATAAACACAAAGGCAATACACAGACTATGACAAAAATATACACACATCCCACATTAATGACTCTGAGTTCAGTCTGATGACTTCATCAAACAAAAGAAGTAAAAAACAACACCTTTCATTTGTGACATTCATCACAACCAAAAGACAAGAAAACACTTTTCTTTTCCTGGACCTAAAATAACAAATTAAAAACCTCACAAATAAGAAATCATGGGCCTCATGCAAGAACATGTTCGTATTCTTCTCCTAAATGTCTCTTACTTTTGTTCGTACAAAGGGTTCGTACGAACATGTCACGTCAGATTCAACAAACTCTTCTATCTTCAGGAAAAGTGTGTAAATGCGGAGTGTAAACTGATGAATTACACCTGTTTAAATCAGCAGCTCGTGCACGAGGAGAGGAGATTAGCATAATTACCACCCCAAAAACACCATATAAGGTAACGTTTCCTGCCTCAGATACCAGGAAGTGTTCATTCATGAAAATGACAGTGAAAAGTAAAAAAGAAGAACTTTAC